AAAGAACAAGAAAGAAAAAAGAGGCCGGCCAAATAGTTCAGCAGATTAAAGTGTCTACAAGCAGGCGCAGGAGCTGGAGGTTCCATCCCCAGGTCTGCCGTGCTGGCCCCACCCCCAGGGTGTGCTGAGACAGCCATTGAGACTGGGTGTGGTGGCACGCACCTGCAATCCCAGTACAAGGGAGACTGTAAACAGGAAGATCACTACAAGTCTGATCTAGTAGTGAGACCCTGAACACCCTGTAAAGCCTTCCCTAAAAATTCAAAAAGAAAGAAAAAGGGAAGGAGGCAGAAGAAAGAAAGAAGGGAGGGAGAGAGGGAGGAAGGGAGGGAAGGAGGGAGGGAAGGAGGGTGAGAGAAAGACTTGCCTCAGGACAACACACCTCTTCTGTGAAGGCCAGACAGTGTGCACCTAATTGTTTGGGACACGTACTTCCCTGACACATTCCCTGTGCTATTACCATGCCTACAAAGCCATATAGTCTATGCTTAGCTCTGGGCCAGTTGAACACAGGCGCTTAGGCAGATACATCCCACAGGTTTACTTTACTGACTTCTACTTAGGGCCCAGGACAAAGTGCAGGGCACAGGTGGGGGAACAGTCATGACCTCGATCAAGCGATTACCTCTGTTGGTCCTGCAGTATTTCCAAGACTCATTTGACAGTTGAGCAGTGTCCCCAGATCACCCAGTGAAGCACATGGCCACACCTGGGCCCTCTCTTCCTTGCAATGTCTGGTTGTCACCAGAACCCCAGGTCTGCACCCCCAAGCCCTGCTCCTCCCAGCCTGGCACCCTTCTCACAGTTCTTCCTTCCTACCACCTGCCTGTGAGGGCCAGGTACAAGAGCCAAATGAACTAAGGAGACAGCCCACGAAAATAGCATCTGCCCAGGAAGACATGGGATGATCTGTGGAGGTGACCCTACCAACCTGAGACAGGGCTCCCATCTTCTTGCAGTTGGTCCCTCCAATGAAGACCATGTTGGGCAGGACTGGCCTGGGGTACTCAAACACGAAGTCATATCTTAACAGCCACACGGGGTCCTTCTGAAATAAGGAGGCTAAGCGCACATCTCTCTTGAGGAGATCCGAGGCAAGGTCTTCATACCTTGAATAGAGGCAGTGAAACAACAGGTTCTCCAAGAAACTGACAAGGAAGTTGATCACCCGTTGGGGAAACGTCATGTGGTCAGAAAGCTCTGTGTAGCATCTGGGGATATAGGATGCAGGACTCGGGCTGTTGCTGAACACATGCTCCAGGGAGCAGGGAAAGCCCCTGAAGAGGTATACGGAGGGCAGCTGCAGGTACTCGGCCAGGATCACTCCACAGGGGAGCCCTGGGTCTGTGAGCAAAGCATCGAACTTGCTCTCCTTGAGGAAATTCAGGGTGTTTGAGTCCTTCAGGAGGCACTGACAGTTGAAGAACCACATGTCAATGACGATCATGTTGTTCCTGTACTCCGTCAGGGCAGAGGTCACGTATGCTCTCTCTGCAAAGTGCTGGTTCCCGAAGGAGCGGAAACGCTCCTCCAGCTCTTCTTGGCTATAGGTCACCGGGTAAATTTTTCTGGTGTAGTACTTAGATTCTTTCAACAGCAAGTTGATTTCTGGTGCCAGCACCACGATCTCATGTCCCCTGTCACTGAGATGCTCAAGTATATCTTTCATACTAAGCCAGTGGCTTCCATCCAGCGGGACTGCCAGGAGTTTGTCACCTACAACAGTACCCCAAAGTGACAAGAAGAAAAGCCCTGTAGAAAATCTCTGAAACTCAGCAAGAGGGCCAGCCATCCTGGAGAAAGTTAAAGCAACAATAATGAATTGTTTGTGTGCTCTGGGTCTTTTCCCTAAATCAGTTAATGATTTTTCAGACTCTGCCTATCTCTCCCTTGCTCTGAACCTTGTCCTCTGATCTAAAAGAATCCACATTAACATTCAGTCATATTCATGCACACAGCTAATACGAATCAGCTAAGACTGCCTCAGCCTCTGAGAACTCAAGATTCTTTTCATTTCTACCAATTTGCTTCTCCTCCCCAAAGAGTCAATTGCCATGCTTTGAGGACAACTCAGAGAGAGCTCTGGGAGAGCCCAGAATCTTCCCCTCCTGCCCAGGATTCCTCATCATGTCCCAGAAGTAACAGGCATAAATGCTTTACTGCTTTCTTGCTAACTTTGCTTGGACTAGAAAGGAAGTATTAATTTAATAGATGACAGATTCAACATTTAGAACAACCCCATAGCATCACCATGTAAAAATTCTGATCTCCACATGATAGCTGGATGAGAAGGTTCCCTGCAAGAAGCCAGAGCACCCTGGGTGAGTTCACAACAACTTCACCTCCTCACTGACCTAGGGCAAGGCTCTGTTGTCCTGGCATCTCCTGCAGGCTGCAGCTCAGTCTTGCCCTAAGGATAGATGCTCCTTGGTCACAGCTTTCACCGTCACAAGATGGCGAGCCCGACTCTGGAGCCAGCCCCTTTCCCCCATGACCTCCTCACTCTGCATCCCAGTGGCTACATCTACTCCACGCAGGTTGCATCACTCACTCCCCCACTCCTCACCCCCAAGTTCATGCAAGAATTATCAGAGCTAAGGAAGTGGCAGAAGAATGACCAGAGGTAGAGCACAGGGTACCACTCTCTCTGGGGGGCCCCTCTGGCTCTGATGGAGCAGCTGGACTCTATGTGCTATGAACTGAGGGGCACCCTGGGGACCAAACAGGGACTTCTAAAAAGAATCAAACAACCAAGTATCTAGTCCTGCCCTGCGGACAAGTGAAGTCTAGGAGGAGGAAAAGGGGAAAGAAGAGGAGAGAGAAAAATAAAAGGAATAAAATGTGGAAGTAAGGCGGTAAAATGGCAGGGCACTTGGATGTTTAGATTTGGCCAACCAGATGTTGAAGCAATTAAAAAAGAGGCTGGGAAAGTACAGAACAGACAGTGGGACCCAGACAACTGAAACATATTGTTGCATGGCCCTAGAGAACAGAGGCCAAAGGCCCCAATGTTGATGTTTCTAAGACAGTGAAGGAGAATCTGCTTCAGGTCTGTGACTTAGCTTCCGGTAGTGCTGCCGATTTCTGGAATGCCTTGACTTGTAAAGGCATCACCCTGGATGTCTCCTTTGTCCTCACATGGTTCCCCCTGGGTGCTGTCTCTGGGTCCAAATCTCCTCATGTTTTAGAAACACAAGTCCTATGGGTTAGGACCCACCCCAAGGGCTTCACTTTCACTAGTTACATTTGTGAATCCTCCAGTCCAAATAAGGTCCAATTTTGGTGGGTTCTGGGGATGCTGTTTGACTCTTAGCTGTTAACTCATTGTCTCCACAAAAGCCCAGAGTGCTGCAGTGGCCTCCTCTCATGAAGCCTGAGAAATAAAAGCTGCTTTCCATGAGAACCACATTTCTTGTAACTCTGGAAGCTTCCAAAGGAAAAATAAACTGGGCTATTTCTAGATCAGCTGTTCTCCAATTGGATGGTCTTGGGATTTCTTTACATGTGTCAAAAGGCAAAATTGCAACAAATTTATGTTGAACTTCTCAACTGACTTTTGTTTTGGGATTCTAGAGTTGGGTGACACCTTGTTTCATAAAGCAGAATGAGTGCAAGCTAGGCGTGGTGGTGCAGGCCTGTAATCCCACCAATCTGGGAGGCTGAGGTGGGGAATCATAACTTTGATTTAGCACAAGCCTGTCTTGAAATAAAAAATAAAAAGGTGCTGGGGCTAGTGTCGGTTAGAAAGCCCAGGTTCAATCTCTTGTACCACACACACACACACACACACACACACACACCCCGAGAATGTGTGCTCTGTCAAGCTGAGCTCAGAAGGTTGCCTTCAGACATTAAGAAGGCCAAGGAAAGCAGAAATGAAGGAAAGAAAAGTCGGTTATTCCAAATTCATGCTTTTTCTTATATTGGTACATTTTACACACACAAAGTGATCACCTTTATCATAGGAAATTTGTACCTGTATATGATCTATCTTAATTATTTTGTTTCTGTTCCCATCTCATCCTCCTTACCTAAAGAGCTTTTTCTATTTTTTTCTTTCTATTCTATTTTCTTGTCCTTCCTTCTTTTCCCTCTCGCATCTTCTTTGTTCCCTTCCTCATCTGAAAATTTTCTTCTCCTTCTAAATATCTATTATACATATTGGTCCTCATTTGCACTTTGGGGTTCTCACACCAGGGAAACAACAGAGTACTGGTCTGCAGTTTTCTACTGTTGGTTGGGTCCTCTGGTTTTGGCATCAGGGTGATGCTTGCTTCTATGAATGAATTTGGGAGTACTACTTCCCTCTCAATTTCATTAAAGAATTTGAGGAGTAATGGCATTATATCTTCTCTAAATTTCCTGTAAAATTCAGCAGTAAATCCATCAGGCCTGGCCTTTTCTTTATTGGTAAGGTTTCAATTATATTTTCTATATCATTGACTGATATTGAGTTATTCAGAATTTTTATTTCTTGGTTCAGTTTTGGTAATTCATATGTGTCTATGAATCTGTCTCTTTCTTCTGTGTTTTCTGTTTTATGAGAAAAAAGTTTCTTGAAGTAGGTTTCCATCATCTTCTGGATTTCTACAGGATCTGTTGTGATCTTACCCTTTTCCTTCATAATTTTATGAATTTGAGTCTTCCTTTTTTGATAAGGCTGTCTAAGGGTTTATCAATTTTATTTAATCTTTCAAAGGACCAACTCTTGAATTCATTTATTTTTTAAAGTTTCTATTATATATTAACTTCTGCTCTGATCTTTAAAATTTCCTCCACTTACACATTGGGCATGACTTGCTCTTTTGTTTCTAGAAGCTTCAGGTTCAACATTAGGTGATTCGAGCTCCATCTGTTTTTCTGAAATGAGCATTCACTGCCATAAATTTCCCTTATAAGACCATTTTCACTGCATCACATAAATCCTAATATGTGGTACTGTCATTATTTAATGCAGAAACTGTCTAACTTCTTCTTTAATTTTACCTGTGGCCCACTGGTTGTTCAAAAGGGTGCTATTTAATTTCAATGTGTTTATGAATTTTTTTTGTGTGGTTCCTTTTGCCATGGATTTCCAATGTCATTGCACTGTGATCTGATAATATGCATGGGACAATTTCAATTCCTTTGCATTTACTTAAGTATGATCTATGAGCTAGTATTTTATCTGCTTTGGAGAATGCTCCATGCACAGCTCATAAGAATGTGTATCCTGATGTTGTGGGGTAGAAAACTCTGTAGACAGCAACTAAGTCCATTGTTCAAAAGTCTGTTTCAGTTCTGACATTGTTTGTTGATTTTCTGTTCAATTGATCTGTCTATTTATGACAGTGGGGTACTGAGGTCCCTCACTACAACTGCATTAGTTCTTATTTGATTTTTATGACCATTTGTATTTGTTTTAGACAGTTAACTGTGCTAGTATTTATGCATTAATCTGCCACCCTTCACTATTTTTATATAACAAAATCTGAAATAAACCAGAAAAGTGTATATAGTAAATAAATCTTCAATATAGCAATTTTACCCTCAGAGGAATTTTTTTTAAGGAGTTGGAGGGAAAAACAGAGAAATAGAAGAAAAAAAGATTAGAAGCAAGGCTGGAGTACAAAGGGAAATTATACAGACTTTGGGAAACTGGTGAAGAAGGTAGGAAGGAAAGAAATAAAAGCAAAAACAGAACATGAAGAAGAAAACTAGAAGCAATGTTCACATTCATATAAAAACAAGAACAAACAATCACAAAGAAAGAAAACAAAACAAAAACTTGAGAAGAAAAAAAAATGTCCACTTTAGGGCATGTTCTGCTGTAACAGGTAGGAAGAGTGGGTAAGCAGACTCCATATCTGTGCTGATTAATCCCAGCAAGCCAGCTATAGCTTTACAGTGGAGTGGAGGGTAATCCCAGCAAGCCAGCTGCAGCTTTACAGTGGAGTGGAGGGTAATCCCA